TCGATAAAAGTTTAAGGTTAGGTTAGGTTAGGGATTTTAACTTCCTTCCCCATTGGCTTAAAAATATAAATAAATATGAGTAATCTAATAACGAAATGCGTATATTTCAGTATAATTATGAGAAAAACTTGATGTAGAAATTGGCTTTTTTTTTAAATTACCAATTTCCATAGTCGAGTTGGGTAAAGAAGAGAATTTTACGATTCTTATTTGCTATACATCCCCTTTTATTGAAAATTCCTGAGAACGTCATTGAACTTAACCTACCTTCTCAACTTCCCAGGCAAGCGACGTGAGACATCTATAATGGCTATAATCATTTATATTTCATTCATAACATCGGTATTATTATATTTGATAGGTAATAAACCTACAAACACATAACGGGATTTCCCTAGTTACTTTAACGGGCAGTTACATTTGTCTTCCTTTTAGTATAGATCCGCGTGGAAAACAATAAAATACAACACAAAGAATGCACTTATAGGTACCTAATAAGAATGTATTATACATCACTGTACCATCATGATGTATTTTAATGAACACGAGTTTTTTACGAAATTAGTTCTCTTCCGTGAAAACAAGAAATGTTATTATAATGTTCCTGCACCGCAAAACGCATATTAAAAATCGTAAAATAGTAAATTACAGTGCCGCTGCAGTTTCACTCGCATACCTCCCTATAATGCACAATTATTGTTATTATTATTATAAGTGTAATATTATGCGTTTGATTGTCGTGCATATGTGTTTGCACGAAACGACGTACTCGTATAATATTATTATTTCTTTCTCGTATATTTTATAAGAGACGGTTCACGTAACTGCAGTGAATTATTATGTACGGCCGTCTGTTGGAAATTTCTAGTAAACCACCGGAGAATGAAGAAAAAAAACTATTCACATATTATTGTACTGCAGTTTAGTATAAGGCTGAATGCACCGTCGTCGACGATTCGGTACGCCACGACGCTCGATATTATCGCGCGTATCGATCGTTTAAGGTCAAAATAAATCTCAAGACGCTATACATTATTATTCAATAACTATTACACACTTGGACTTATATATTTTTAGCGTTTTTAGAGTTTTTACGTGCAGCATGTATCAACGAACGTTTCTATTTCGGTTAAAGCCGCGCACGTACTAAATAGTAAAATAATATGGGGGGACAGGGACGGCTGCTGCGGGCACCCATCGTAAATGCACATCATATATTCATGCGGATTGTAATATTATTTTTATCAAACGAGTGTGTGCTGTGTAACCGCGATGGACTCAAATTAATTCAATTGATAAATTGATACATTTATTATTACAGACAACACGAAAATAAAACAAATGTTTTTTTTTTTTTAACACTATCGAATTGTTAGTGACATTAGGATAAAAATTATCTCTTAATTTATCCAGGTCTGAAATACCGGAGTTATATTTTGATAATAATTATTGTAATTATAATGTTCGGATTGACGGATCTTATCCATCAATACGGATTAATCCGGATCCGTTAAATTTATTTTTTAATCTGAATACTCATCAAACTTCTAGTTCAGCATACATATTGAACAGACCTCGGAACGAGCGAGTTTAAATTAACTCGTTTGGAATGTGAATGTATGAACGAAAAATTAACTAAGTTTTCATTTTATTAAAGTAAACTTTCTTTTGAAATAATTTATATTTTCAATGAACTTGAGTTTTAATTGGGTCATTAATTTTCATTCAGATTCCAAGTTTTCCATTGCGAATTCAGGAAAATAATTCAAGAAATATTGTTATCAACCTGTAGATAGCTACAATTTAAATTCTAAGTAGGTAACAATTTCTTCCTATAATTCTCGTTAAAGAAATTATAGAGACGGTACATTCTGCTGTGACGTCCTTATGAGATTATTTTAACAGCCGGAGACGGATAGGCATATCAGATAGGCCCGGGAAAATATATAATATGTAACGGCCTATTATAGTAGACCAGTATTTAATGGGTGCAAGAGTACCTTTCTGCCGGAGAGCGAAGTTTATAGAGAGGAACAGAGAGACATTTAATATTTAGATTACAATGTGTATTATATTTAGTAGTTGTTTTCTCGTGTATGTATTAAACTAAAAAGAAAAAATATAAAAAACAAAAACATTTTTCTTCGTGACTTCCTGTTTCTATCCTACGTTCCTTTCATTGTAGTTAATCACTGTTGTCCGTCAATGTTTGAACATACATTTTCTTTTCATTCTTTAGGAGTTGAATTTTGAATAAATCATTTCTTAGCGTTTGTCTTCCTAACTCTCCTATTTGTGCTTATGCTACTTAGTCTTCTCGAGTTTCAAGGAATATGTGTGCTTCATTTGATGTCAATTAATTCGTTAGTTTTTGAGTCTATTGAACACGAACGAACATTCATTTTTATATTTTAGATTGTTTATTGTCATCTTGCTTTATGACGTTTGTTATGAAAAAAATGTCGAAGAACCTATAACGAAATACTATTTATACATAATATATATAATATATTTGGTTTTGCTACAGCGGCCTATTTTAACTCACCAGTACGCGGCCTATCAGAAATTTCCCGATTTCCCGATGGTCCAATCGATCTCTGTAAACAGTCCAATACTTCATTCTTAATACGATATTTAATAAACCAGAGTACTAAAGGAACATAATTTCTCAATGAGTGAAACGACCCTAGTTTTTCACAGATTGAGCTGAAAATCAATGAAAACTTTTTTTGGAGATTAACTAATGTTGTTGTAAAAACTGCATTCCAAAACGCGTAATCGTATGAGAGATAAAGCGCATACGAATAGAAAAACACTGACAAATTCACAAAGTAGCTTACGCCCTTAATAAAATTCTATAGTTAAAGTTGATACAAATCAATAATGCAATAAACTTGTAAGTTCATTTACATATAACTTGGAATAAGAAAGTTTACAAGGAAAAAAATAAATATTCTTGGATGAGTTTTTTAACTTTAGAGCCAAGTGAGATATTAGTGATTTACTTGACACCAACAATTTAAAAGTTGAATAACTATTTAACTATAAATTTTTTTTTCCAATTAATTCCAACAATTTTCCATTAATGTCCAATAAAATATTATAGTGGAGATTGTTTGAAAGTTCTGTGAACTTTGGTGGGGTCAACATCACGTAATTTCAATTTTATGCTTATGATATAGCCAGGGACGTTAAACGAGGGGGGTAAGGGGGACGTATCCACCTACCCCCTTCATAACAAAATCATTTGACCAGATCTAGCTCATCAATGAATTGATATTTGAAATGAACATTCTAAGATCCTGTATAAAATAGCACTACATCGTATGAAATGTATGGAGATATTTAGTCCAATTAAGTTACTTTAGAGTAGTGTCCCCAAATTTTTTTCTTTGACGCTCAATAAAAAAAAATTATCGCAAACCTTCTCAAAGAACAAAGTATAAAGAGGTACACACTGGTACATTAATTAATTGGTGAACTCAAAAAGTCAAAACTTATCTAGCTTAGTCTAGTTATAAAGATTTAAATGTTCTAAATATTAAGAAAACGGAAACAACTAAATTTCGTTATAATGTTTCACTTTTCCGCTAAGCTTTTATCATACACGCTCAAGTGACGGAAATCAGCTGCTCTTATTTTCCTTTACATCCATCACCATTTTTACATAATTTACGTGTCATAGAATCGTGCAATCTATTTTTGACCCACTCTCAGTGGTCCAATCAATTCGTAATTTTCTTTGCACTCTTATTTACGGTAACAACACAAACCAATAATTAGATTTTAGGTTTTTACTCCAATTTACTAAGAGAGTCGAAAAGGCCATAGGGGGTTTCAACGAGTCGATAAGAAATATTTCCTAACAAATCACTTATAATATTTTTAGTCGAAAATAAATTTTAAAAACTTGCTTTCCTTAAAAAAAAAAAAATTGTACTAATAAGTAAAAAAATAATTTTTCGAAAATAAACATATTAAAAATGATCATAATATTTTATGATGGACTAAAAAAAAACCGTGCACTTATAAACAATCACACCATAGGATCACCAACTTTGACGTAATATTGTATTAAAGAGTTTTGTCATTAATGTTAATGTTTCAAGGATGTGGGTTCACCAGTGAATAACATAGACCACAGAGGTAATTCGCCTGTGTTGGATTAGCATTTTATTATGTAAAACTAATTTTTACAGACAAGTTAGTACAGAAGCTAACATGTTTCATATTGTTAGATGATGATAAATTTCAAGTTTAATTAAAATTAATTTCACCGGTTAAAATTACGAGGATGGTGGTCCAATTGAAAATTCACTTGGTCCAAATTAGACAAACTGGCAATATATGCTGGATCACTTTGTACATTAAAAAAAAAAAAAAAAAAAATGAAACATGTCTCATTCAAATTGTAACTAATTATGCCAAATATGAATTTATATGTTTAGATATTGTTTCGATGTAAATTCACATCAATAATTTAGACTAATTCATGCAATAATTTCGACTAATTTGTTAAAAAATTAAAAAATGTAAAAATAGTCCAATATAGTCAATTCTATATTCTACACGAAGTAATTGTTTATGAGTGCACGAAGCATGAAAACTTTTATTTTTAGTTTATGCTAAAAATGTCAAAATTTTTGTTTTCGAAAAATTAGTTTTTAATTTTTAGCACAAATTTTTTAAAGGAAAGCGTGATTTTTTTTATCTATTCCTGCGCATGCCTCATATCTATTCTAAACACACTCTAGCGCCGCTTCTTCATAGCCAGTCTTTCTTTAGCCTACCATTAACTCGGCGTCCGCATCCCAATTACTTATATCTTCTTTTCGGCTATCCCATCGTTTTGCCTTCTCTCGCCAAATTTAATATACTCGTAACAAATAAATCGTTATCGAAGTAATTGTCGTCTTTATTTTTCTCATAACTTTATACCGACTAGTTGTGTTCAAGCTCTGAGCCTGAGTCATTATTCCTGGAAAATCGTTTGTTCCAAACTATGAATTTATTTCACAAAGTGAAATCTTCGAAGTTTGGCAGGCCGGCGTACCCCGAATGCGCACAGCTGCATTCGCGGCCCATCGTGCTTTGACGGAGTGTTGAACTTCACGACGACTCGAGTCAGAGAAGGGAAAACATTTGGCCGTTACATAATCTCGGGAAATTACGCGGCGTGACTTCTTGAGGGGAGGGGAGGGGGGTTGCGGACCGGTGCAGGAAGAATGACCAAAGTCGAGAGAAGAAAACACTTTCGGGCGGCGGCGGTGAGAGTGGAGTCGGTATACCGTCGGCCGTTTCGTCGTCGGTTTCAGTGGACAGGGGGAGCGTTTAAACGGCGATGCCGGTGCAGGAGTGGAAAAAACGATTGCGCGCGCGCGCGCTCGTGTAATCCGCGCGGCGGACAGGATGTAGAAAAAGCGGCGGCCGTGGTGGAGGCAACTTGGGCGGCGTCGGCGGCCAAGGATATTTCGTATCTCGTCACGTGGCAACGCCACCGCCGTCGTCGTCGTCGTCGTCGTCGTCGTCGCCGAACAGCACACTAACACCATCTGGATCGAAGCCGGCCAAGCACGAAGGTCGTCTGTGGGTCGCGTGGCGGCGGCAGCGGCGGCGGCGGCGGCGGCGGCTCGGCTTCGCCGGCAAACCGACACACGCACTGCGCGCCGTCGACCGACGATCGCAGTAGCAGTGCTTCGGTCGTCCAGACCTCCCGACACACGCGCGCGCATGATCTTCCAATCCGCTGCCGTCGTCGTCACCGCTTGTCGTCCGGTGCGCATAACAATAATAATAATAATAATCATACAAATCATAAGAATCATAAGAATAATAATAACAACACTCTCGTACCTCTCTATACGGAGAGCATAATATACGCGCTCATTCATTGTTTCGACTCGCTCGTCTTATTAGTTGTATAGTAGTATATGATACATATTATACATATATACATATATATCTATATATATATATATAAGTATAGTAAGTTATAATATAAAATATACACCTACGTACACGTACATGCGTGCGTACGTATACATGAATAGGTACAAGTTATTATTATTATAGCGCACGTTGAAGATATCCGACTACGGAGCTCCGGCCGTCAATCGAAACCTCTCGGCGATAAACGACAAAACGCTTTCACCGTCCGGGTTTTTTTTTTTTTTTTTTTCAAATTTGTTTTCGCGAGTGTTCGCCGTAGTCAATAAATAATATACGTACACACACTCATAAGATACATATTGTTTTCGTACGCGAGTAGTTATATACGGTACAAATTTAGTTTCTAAATACGCGGTCGGAATACGTAAATATCATAAAAAAAAACAAAAAAAAAAAAAAAAAAAAAAAAAACCGGCGGCGTGCCGGTGTAAACAACGACGACGACGGCGGTGCACGGGCGGTGTAAATAGTATCCGGACGCGAATACGCGCGCGGAACGGCGCGGCGGGCCACGACGCTCGCCGGTAGAGGACACATACGCCGCGCCGCCGGTGCCGCCGGTGCCGCCGCCGCCGCCGCGGATACAAACGACTGCCGCCACGGTCCGGGGTCGGGACCGCGGAGATAGCTGCTGCTGCTGCAGGGCGGCGGAAAGTTATCGTGTCGTCATCCCGTACGGCTCGTCCGTGTACGCACACCGTCATGACAACAGGTTAGTCGAAAATGCTGTATACATAGTATCCCGCCCGCCGGCCGGCCGGTCGCGCCGGCTATCGGCTATCCGCGTAATCCGCCGCGATTAATACGCCGGCGCGTAACGGCACGACGCCGGTAATAATGTCGATTACGAACGCCCGCGGCTCAACACCCAGTCGTCGACGTTGCGTACGCACACACCGTATTACACGCGCAATAATGCCGTTCCGCGTACGCGCGTCAGTTCGGGACACCCGGTACATAACGCGCGTGTGCGCGGCGCGACCGATCCCGCGGGCCCGCGGACTTTGCGCGAAAACAACGCGTGCAACGGGCCCGTGCGATACGATAATATCACGCGGCACACGACGTCGCGTAACATAATAATAATAATAATAATAATAATATTGTAATTATATCGTAGGTGTACGTACGAGCGTGTTATATACGGGACGGCCGCGCGTTTTTCCACGTGGGAGACGCTGCGCATCTATATGTACGTGTATACGTATAATGCGCCGCGTGCGTACATACGTATATACGTATATACATATAGGTACGTATGCGTTTTGTCGCCAAGCGCGCCGCGTTTAGTACGTTTTTTTATTTTCAAGGTTTTCGTCGGGCGGCTGGCGCTGGCGCTGTCCCGCGCCGCGGCGGCGGCGGCGGCGGCGATCGCCGCGCGCCCGCCCGTAACTCGGCGGACGGCGATTATTATTTTGTGTACCCGCGGTTAGCGTGCGGTAACCCGTGGCAACGCGGCCGTAACCGTCTGGCGGCTTGACGCGCACACGCACGTACGCAACGCTCGCGCGGAAAAACGATATTTCATTTTCACCGTCCGGCGATTATAATAATTATTGTTACGTTTTCGTCGTTTTGTGCGTGCGCGCGTGCGTTTTTTACAATCTTTTTTTTTTAGATTCGGAGAGATCTATTGATTTCACCACGCGTGCTTTTTCCTCTCTCTTCGCGAACAACTTTTTTACGACAAATATCGCTCCGAAAATGTATCAAGTGTAACGTCTATTCTGAATGGTAATTTTCTCTAGTTGGTGCGTATAAGGGATGTTTGTTTTCTAAGAGGTTTTGCAAAATGATCGGGAGAAACCCGAAAGATAACGATGGAAAAATAACAGACCGATATTATAATAGAAAAATAACAAAAGATCTGTTTGATGCATTTTCAATCTATTATTGGTGGCCAAGAAAGTGGTTTTTTGATTTTCTTTGTATTTAATTTTTTTGAATAATTGAGCAAAATCGAAAAATACGTGAATTAAGGTGATCGTGTTTTTGGTTTTCCCAGCATTTTTCCTAATAACTGGAGAACCCCGATAAAAACGTATTATGAAAAACAGAAAAGCTTACTGAAATAACGGTTCAATATTTTCGATATCGTGATTCGGCCGAAAAATAACCGTCGAGACCAGATATTTTCACGGAACACCGTTAATGTAATTGTTATCCTTTTCTAGCCGTAGTCAAATTTTTAAAACGTTTTGGCGATTTTCGAGATATTTATTTAAGTATTTAATGTGTCAGGTATTTTTTTTTTTTTTTAGTTTTAATTAGATTTTATGTCGATTCAATTTTGTTAAGAACGACATGTTGACGGCGCACAACAGGTAAAACCAAAAATTACGTAAGCTCGTGTATCAAGATTTTTTTTTTTAACTGTAGGAAGGCCTTTTTTAACATTGGATATAAATTACCTAAAAAAAAAAATTATATCTTCTAATGTGCAGGGATTTTTCCATCGGATATTGGTGTTTCTTTCGAGCTATCAAATTCAGGGGTGGTAGCACATTTATTATATAGTTAGTGCATTGACTGATATTTTTTTATCATTCTTGTAATTTTCATAATAATCGGAAAAACCAGGACAATTTTCACAGAATACTTATTTAGGTCTTTACTATACGTAGTAAAATTTTGTTAACATTTTGGTAATCGTTGATCATTTGTCATTTTTCAGTTGTTTTAGTTTTTGTTCGATTTCATCTAAAAATGTATGCGATAATTTGTAGAAAGAAAAAAAATCGAGCTTAATATAATTCAAATAATTTTGACGAAAATCGTTAAAACCCGGGAATTTCAAAACGCGCATTACATTCAGAATCGTATTTCGTTGGCAACGATCGTTGCGTATAGGCATATATTTCATATTTTTATATATTATATCCTACACAATCGCGATTTTCCACCTGTAAAAGTGGCAGACCCACCGGCAGTATCGGCTCTTTTTTTTCTTTTTGCTATTTTTTTTAGCTCAACAATAACCCCGTGCGCGTTATAATATATTTGTTGTTTAATATTTAATATTTTACTAACCGACCTGGCAGTGATAACAATACATAGTCTTCTGATTGTCCGCGACAGCCGAATATTGTCATCCTGCACGTCGCCGAGGTAAACACCCAAAACCGAGGAAAATCCACGATCGTCACATTCGTGCCGAAAATAATTAAAAACCGTTATTTCACCACCGACCACAGGGGTCGAATTTTCGAAAATTTCTTTCTCGACGGACGACATATCGTAGCTATCTGCTCGCCGAATTTCAGCCCATTCGGGCTGGGCGACGACGGATTAGTCGGTCAGTCTATCGGGTCACATTATTTTGTGTACGACGTGTATAGGCGTACAAATTAATTATACGAAAAAACCGAATTTTTCCGCTCAAACCCCGATCCGTCGTTCGTCGACCCCGCGCACCAGGCTACACTCGTATACTCGTTTACTGCACCGCCGAATGTCTTTTCGGGTGCAATAACCTCTTACCACACGTAGCCGCGTGACCGCGGGTGGCGGGTGCAACGGGACCGACGAGGAGTACCCTCGGTGGCGGTGTAACGGGTTTATACTGTTATTGTTCGTAAGTACACGCGGTACACGACCTCATCCGAGGGGTCAAACACCCTGGGCATTATACACGCGAGCGAAATCCGAGATCCCCGAAAAGGGATGTTAATGGTTTTTTTTTTTTTATTTTCATAAAACCACGACGGTAATACACGAAATTCGTTTTCGCGGCGTTAACAATAACAAATGTTTACCGCGGTAGATAACATTCGCGGTTCTAATTCAAGTCTATTTTTAATATTTGTAAACATTTTCTCACGTAATTCGTTTCCACGGTTTTCAATAATTTCCCATAAATATTCATACTTTTCTCGTAATTCCATAACTAACGCCGTTTTTTTTTTTTCACGAAATTGAATCTTCTTCCCTCGGATCAATGATATACTCATGACAAATGTAGCGTATTCATTATGTTTATTTTTTTTTAAATTACAATAGTCGGAAAAAAAACGCGGTATTCAGACCGAACAGCTAGACAAAACTGCGAACCCTACAGTTTTGTCTAGTTCTTGTCGGACGGATTTTTATTTCGGAAGTAGATTTGATTAACAAGTTTACTATAGACTTTAATGGAGAAGCTTTTAAATATTCCAATAACTGTACGTTAAAACGGAATATACAATAAGTAAATCTTACATCGGTTTTATACGTTTATACATCGCATATTATACGTTTTCTGGTACACGTGTCTCGACTTATTTGTTCGACAAAAAAAAAAAAAAATAATAATAATAATACATTATTCGGTATAACAAATAATCTGGACGAAAACGTGGTGTGTAATCCAGATTACAAATAACACTGAAATATTCTGTTAGTTGTTCTTTTTTTGTTTTTTTTTTTCAAATAATATTTGTCATTTCGTATTATCAAGTGCGCTGTTGACATTCATTAATAACGTTTTTAAAGTGTATGCGAATGTACATGTTACATACAAATTATAAAGAAATTTATTTTATTTTATATTATTTTATTAACAAATTTATTAAGAAGCTATACTAGCTAGGTACTTATAATTGAAATTTCGTGGGCTATCCTGCTGAAAATCTAGCAAATCAATATTACGTCTACCACAATTTTTCGCTTCTCTTGTAAAATTCGCACATTGATCGATCGCCGAGGTTTTGATGGGTAGCGATCTTTGAAATATTTGTTTAGCCTCGAATAAAATATACGTAGTTTTTTTTTTGTCTATCATGTTCGAAAACACTTTTGAATTTGTTACACAATTATTTATATTTAACGACGAATATAGAATAGTTTTCGGAAGTTTTAAATTTGTTTCTACAGTTTTCGGCACTGCAACCTGCAATCTGTTCTCTTTAGTTTGACAAATCTCATCCTCGAGTCTTCTATGATTGTGCCTCATGGTCGTCTTTTCATTCTTCGTTTGCCGTTTATTTTTCCATTCTTAAAATTAATAAATTAATAAAATAAATTCACTGTGCGTTGTATGTGTCCAATTTTTTGTTCTTCACGTCATTTTGATACTCTATTTTAACTCTTGAACCGCGTGTTTAATACCGGTCTACTACATTAGTTTTCATTTCCGTTTAGTCCATACCCCTCCATAGTCATCCATCGCTGTCAGACGACCAATGCTTCTCGGCTTCTCCGATTCTCCTTGTTTTTGGTATAGAATCGGTGAAAATTAATAACAATAACGGCTAATTTCTGTACAATAATTATCGTGGTTAAACCATCCGCCAAATGTTTTTTATAAAAAATAAATTATTATTAATCGTCTGAATATTTTATCTCATTGTAATTTTTTTTTTGCTCTCGTGCTATGCAAGTGTTATTATATTAATTATGATTTACGTTACGCAGGTATAGATGATTCGTCTATATAAATATAATATGTAAATAATCGTTAAAAATTATTGCATACGATTATTTTAAAACATATTACGCGTTGACTATATTATTATACACATTGTTTTAAATTAATTTTATTTATTTGTTTACAAACTACACGATTACAAGTACGATTCCGTGTAATTTTATTGTATTTCGGTTGGGATACGATTTTTTTCGCAATACATACAGTGATTCTATTTCATCCCTAATATTATCTCTGAGGATTTAAGGAAATTTTCTTTTTTTTTTTCATTACGGAATTGTTTATCAATCGATTTTTTCAACAAATGTTTTAAAAATTGTTACCTTAAATGAGTATTAACTTTTACGGATATGGTAATATACATTCCCATTTTCAATACTGATTCGAATCTGGTTTGAAAAACCAAAGGTGGTTTGCTAAAAGAAAATTTAAAGTTAATGTTTTTGGTGTACGAAATAAGCGTTATATTTCGAAAATAATGTGAATAATGAGATCATTAAACGATTGATTTTAATACAACGATGACTGAAAAACGCCAAAATTAGTTTTACTTAGTCTTCGTATATAGATAATCACTGGATTATTATGATAAAACCAAAATCATTCTGTATGCAGAATATAATTCGGCGTTCGTAAAATCATAACGATTCAATTTCGTTCTTTCTGAACAAAAGTGTACAAGTGATAAATTATACTATGTTGCAATCGAATTTTTGTACAAACTTACCTATCCAGTTTTACAACAAAATAAAACAGTTGCATAGAGACACAGAGTGTACCGAATGTAAAATACCGTGTTTAAATTAATATGATGAGTATAATAAAAATATTGTTCGTGACTTAATCGAAAGTGTAACGGATCTACTCGTTTACGTTTGCTTTATTTACGATAAATATCAACATAATGTATGCATATTTTTTTGAAAACACATTTTCACTTTTATAAAAATATTACCCATCCGATATTATAATGTAACAACGCGATTAAAAAAAATGTTGGCATTAAATTTCGTTTAATGTACAATTAAAGTTTTTGAAATGAATAACACATATAATAAGTCTAACTTATTGTATATATTACAAAATAAATAAACAAATTCATCTCAATCTGATTTTGATTGAAATTATTATTGGTTTCATAAATCTCATCATTTGCATTTAATCCAATCTTGAAATATAGTCCAACTTAACAATCTATTATAAATCTCGCAAAGATGATTAAATCTAATCGAATGTGTTATTTTCAGAAACTCTTTTACATAATTTTGGTGAAATCTCGTAGATTTCGTTTACATTATTTGCTTTCCTTTATTTGATTCATTAATCTCACATATTTCATTTATACAATCTCTAATTGATCTTTATATGTATTTTATTTCTTCTCGTTCATTTTTACCATTCTCACTTTTCCAAAACAAGAACTCAATTTTAAATTAGACATATTTGTAAAGTTAAACACAATACTTACTATTGGGCGAACGTTGATTTATATGGATCAGCCGTTCTATCGAATTCTCATATAGATAGGTATTTACTTTGGGCTTTTTTTTCGGAAAATCGTTTTGGACTCCCAAACCACTCGTTCCGTTAAAATATACATTATAAATAATAAATAATAAAAATTGTATTATATTCAGAAGACGCCAAACATGCACAAATTACTGCTTCAGTTTAACTAACGGACAACATGGTAACTACTATTATTACTCTGTTATTTAGAACACGAATAATTGTGGCGTAAAAGCTGAAAATAGAGTTTAAAGTGGAGAATATTTTCGAAAGCATGTTTTTTTCCCCCAATGTTTTAGTAAAATAGCAACGTACTACCCCCAAAAGTATAATTCTACTTTTTAAATGTTGTTATTTGCGTTTAAACTTAAGCGCCATCTTAATTCATGTTCTCAGAAATGTAATTTTGGTACGTTGCCCGTTATAATTGGACCAATACGGTAAATGCGGCTATAGCCTCTTTTTAACAATGTTATAAAAATTGAAATGATGTTAAGGTAAAATAATAATGTAATCGTAAGAAAGTTGAATGTAGGTACACTATACACATATACTCGTAAAATGCGAACAAGCAGACATAGTTCATAAGTTCATACAATACAATAATGTACTTAAAAACACAATATTATACATTATCGCGATCGATAACTGTATTTTCTTTATTATATGTATCATCGTCTATTAATATTATATTAATTAGCTTTGTGTTGAATAAATAATAAAATTGTATATTTAACGTATAATATATTTTTTAATGATACGAGACCTTAATAATTTACATTTTGACCCTTGTTTTACTCATTTAGCTCTATGTACCGTTGGAAATAAAACACGTCTGTGTAATCAATCCGGCGAGTCACAGCATTCGATTCTTTTAAAAAAGTTATTCCGTCAAGATGATAAATTATGGTTTTTCATATTTTCAGACGGGAGATAATAATAATACACAATTTCAGACGTGGTCTCGATAGTCTCGATTACGGAATGTGAAATTTAAAATCTGATTATTATTGTGCTGTACTAAGTATGATATGGTTTGGCTAAAAATGTGACTTATGGTCAAAACCAAAACACATTTTGCTTGGGGATCTATTGGCGTGAGTAGGCACTGGATAAAAGGCCAGTCTGTCTTAGCCCTCCGCCATATCCCTTCGAATAATTTATAGAAATATTAGCATAACATTTGTGTAAAATAGACAATAATAAATTATTATAAAAGGTTTTACCACTAATCGGCCTAATTCATACACCTTAAATAAGTATATACTACTGTTTTTCAAATAGAAATCCCTTCTTTTTGAAATTGGATTTGAACAGAGAATATTTTTCGAAAAATTTTGAGAGTATGTATAACACTAATATCATATTTACCGTTTAAAGTTTAGACCGGAAATGTATTAAAGTGTACAAATTGATAACTCTTGACACTTCCAGTGTAAACTTTGGTATAATAACTTTTGTATAATAATGTAGATAGTTATTAAAAAAAAAAAATGTTTGAAATTTTATTAGGTGAGGTTTTGTTTTCACGTGTACGATTTTCGACACCGGCGTTATAATATTGTGCGATTTAGTCAATTGGAGTGATGGATTTATATTGTAAAATGAGCCACGAGTACTGGATCAGGTTCAAAGACCAAAACATATATTACGATACTACGTAATATTACGTATTAAAACGGTAGGTAATTCTAATAATATTTATATGTTGTTCATCATAAACGATAACAAATTGTCGATTAATTTGATAAAATAAATTTATTTTTGTATAATAATTATGCGATTCGTGAGTAACGTAATATTTCATGACGCGAACCGTCCATCGAAATGATTGGTCGGTCGCCGAAGAAAATATCCGTTGATTTTGCTCTGTCAAAGTATGTACAGAATATAATGCAACATTCAATATTTACTCAGTCTACCAAAAAATATTTAAGTAAACTCTGGTTATTGTTTTGCAATGGTTTATTGTTGCATATAAGGTATATATATATAACTAAATTACTCTATACATATATAGAAAAACAGTAATCAAATTCACTTAAAATCTTTCGAGATAATTGCTGGTTCATGATAAAAAAAAATCACCCTGTACATACGTATACTATCGACCCCACCTTCGCCCATAAAACTATTGCAGTGGTTTTTGGTCCGATGTATGTCCGGCTTTTTTTTTATTTTTCTTGTCAATAAACTTATAATGTTTCTTTCCGTTGACCAAGGTGGATCGAATTGATGTGTTTTAAACGCGGTTTCATTGCGAAATTAGTTACTATTTAATATTTTATTTCGTACGATGTAACGTGTAGGGGGTTGCGGGGGACTAAGTCCACCTTGTGTAACTGTCCGTACAACGACCGTGGCGTTTATCTGCTATATGATGCGACGAGCGTTTCTAAACTAAAACCCACGTCCGGCTTCTTTTTTTTTCCGTCCGATTCGAGACGTTCGAGCGCTGTGTATACGAGAACTCTGTTCGGATTGTGTCCGTGGTGACAATTAAATTTGTGTGTGTTCTTGTTGTTGATGCTCGTCATCGTTTCTCGTAAATACATCTGTGTTATAACTCTAATGAGTAATAAATAGTTTAACGAAAACACATTATACGCTACTGTTCTGAAAAAAAAATCATCAATATTCAACGATCATATAATAATTACATTTGGAATATCATTTTTGAATCGACGCAACGAAGAATAATCGTAAGCTTTTTTATTTTATTGTTTCTATTGATATAGAATATTGTGATGCGTACCTATATATGTAAATGGCGTATTATTCGTATGTTTGGCCTTGGTATAACGTACAATTTTTCACAAGTATTAGAATTTATAATTATTAAAAAAAAATTAATAAATAATAAGTAAATCAGTTCTGTAGGTCTGTTGTGTAAACCGAATCGTACAATATATAACTCATTCAACTGTGTAACAAAATATCATTTTTTTTAGATTCTTAGTGTAACAAAGAAACTTTAATCGTTTTACAAAGATTTGCCTTCTCCGGAAAAACGATTTAAATTTTGTATATCATAACCTGAAAAATACGGATTTTTGGTTGATTGTACTTTATTTGGAAAATGTGTAAAAATATCCCCCCCCCCAATACATTTTGCAAAAGACTTTTTTTTTATTTGAAAATACATGTATGATTAGGTGAATATTTCGTTTTTTTTACGCAGTTTAACTGTAAATGTAAAATATTTCTCCAGTAGTACTTTATTTTAAGTATATTTAATAAGTATTTCGATATTTCTAGTTATAGATTTTTGGAGCATTAAGTTTTATTAAAAAAAAAACCCCTCGGTGTCCGAAAAATTCTGTTATTTTTGTACTATCACGAATTTGGAATTAATAAAATTGACTATTATTTCACATATTTCTTAATGTGAAAAATATAACCAAGGAATAGTCGTTTTAAGATTATACAATGTTTTAGCGAAAATAAATTTATTCAAGTTTCACTGATATCCAGTATTTACTGACGATTATTTTTTGTTTCCATTTTTTAAATTACGAACGTTTGGAAAATTCTAAACTAAATCAAACCTAACATATATTCTACACGAAAACGAGTATCAAGTACCTATCTATATGAACAAAATAAGTGTCGATCAAACAAAAATCTAAAAATAACAACAAGTTTTAAAATCAACGGCTTTCTATATTGTTCTAATCGAAATTTAAAAATGGACAATGATCTCAACAGTATGTTGATTACTACGATTTTACGATTACTGACAGGTCACTAGTTCGGATGGGTCACTATAGTTTTATGATTATATAAGTTATAACATATTTATATGAGCTTCGATTGTTTTTAATCTGAATAATGTATACGATTGAAGGTCGCAGTCAACAAAAGGCTAATCATATGAAAATAAATTTGGTTGTTTTTTTCATTTAAATTTTATAAATGTTTTGTTTGTTTTAAATGTTCTTATTTCTCGTCCTAATTTTTCGAGTAATCGGGTATTTTTTAGGGTTACACTATCCGTATCCTGGGTCATGCACTATTTTGGATACGCGTGTCTTATACTAAAAAAAAAAAGATGATTTTAAAGTTTTTTTTTTGCTTTCATTTAATTTCGTTTTTAAAAATAGACGAACAACAAAAATAATAACAAAAAGTTATATATTTTCGATATGAATAACTAACCATAGATATCACATTGTAAAGAATCGTTTCAATCAAAATGTACATACATATAATAATATTGTGGTATAATTTAATATACGGTTCCTAATCTTAGGCCGTGAATCAAATTGGGGTGAGTTAAAAAAATAAAAATAAAAATAGTAGGCTACTATGTGGGTGTTGACATATTATTATTACTGATACGGTATGTTGATTCGATGGTTTGTTGTGTTTATTATATTCGACCACCATAATATAGATGTTACTTTATTGAAAAACGATTCTGAGTGGAGAATATAATTACGATCTTTGTGTTTTTAGTTTTTTATTCATATAATCATAAAAATTTTATTATAGACACAGTCGTCTTTCATCCTGCAAACGAATCAATATTTTACTAAGTAGTATATAAAATGTTTAAAAAAAAACTCCGATGATTTTTTTTTTATTATATTTTCGATCTTGATCGACTTCGGTTTCTGGGATATCGAATGTTATCCGGGTAATAATCGGGAAATTATAACCAGAAAAATGTATATTAGAAGCCCCACCGTATGAAAAAAATAAAAATGTATGTATATATGAAACGTATTTTAACGTGGCCGTTGCGCATCGCTGCTTATCATGTGCCGAAACATCGTACATCATTTACGCGTCAACATATTAATTAAAATGTATTACATTCAAAAACGTTGTACGAAACAAACAGAATTCATTTTGTAAAAAAATAATCGGACATTATTAGAATATCCCGAATGAAATTTTTGTCAGTTTTGTCGAGTTGTAATTGGATATACTCGTAAATCGGGTACGACTGCAGCAATTGATTGAATTTTCAAGTTTAATCGGAAGTTCACGTATGTAACATTTATTTTAATATTAAACAATACTGGCGACTTTTGTACCTTTCAAATATTTTTCGTATACCCTTCTATCGTTCGGTATATTTATGCGCAAACTATGACCCGGCCCGTATGATCCGGTGTTGTTCTAAGACCAATGGTAAATAATTGTTGTCGTGTCCGCGAGTTATTCCGAATATTTGTCGTGAAGGAAAAAACTTTCGATTCTTGACCCATTTAAGTATAAGAGTATATCTGCGCCCATTTATATAGTTACGATTTCTACGTTAGTTTGAACGGGTCTACTAAATATCGTCGCATTTATTCAATCCTTAAAAACGAACCTTCAGACATTAAAACAGTTGCGCACCCTGATGGAAGCTTGAAGACCCTTCTCTAATGGTTATGTTAAATACACAAAAAAAAAAACAATATTAAATATTCAGTATTGAATAACTGACAAAATAATATTCATTGCACATTTGTACAATACTAGTATATTCAACTAAGTACAAATAAAATTATGTATTTTTTTCAGTTTAGCCCTTCTTACCATTAAAAAATCATCGTTAAAAAAATAAAACAAAAAAACTGTTTCGGAACCACTGGTATAATAATAAATAATATTACGTATAATATGCGAGAAAAAGTACCCGCTGTTGAGTTTTTTTATATTTGTGTGTTCAACTTCGTCGTGATACCACATGGAGTACATATTATACTTTATTTAATAATATTATTGCGACGCACCCATATAATACTATTGTCCGATAAAATCGACGACGAGAGTTACATTACGATTTACACACTAATATATACTGCGAAGCGTATTGGATTATGTATTTTTTTTTTTTTTTAAAGAAACGAGTACAGCACGCCGCCGCCGATAGTATCGACGATCGAAATATAGAATTTCTGGAGATTATATGGTTAGTGTTTACTAATCATAAATAAAATTTACTTTGGGATTCCGCGTGCGATATTTTTTACACTTCGAATAACGTACGTGTGGCACGTTGAAGGGTTAATGCGCAATAATCTGAAGTTATAAAAAAAAAAAAAAAAATAAAAAAGTATTAATAAATTAATGAAACGTTCAAATATAAACGTACATATATATATATATATATATATATATATATATATATATTATAATATACGAGTATTTATAGTCTCGACGGTGGCGTTCGTGACGACAGAATCCAAAAACAAACATTATTGCGCACTGCGTATTCGGACGAGATAAACGAGGGCGGAAAAAATAAATAAAAACAAACTAATAAAGTATATATTGTATTATATAATATGGATTACGGTTATGACAAATACGAGAAATGCGTAATAAGTACCACTAAACATATACATTTTTTTTTTTTTTTAATAAAATACTAGTATCATGAATAAAATATCATCGAAATACGTATAAATGAATTATAATAATATACATAGGCACATTAGTCAAGATAACAACTTTACATTGCTGCTAGTGAAGAGGAATGAATGAATGAGAGAGGATGTAGAATGTATAGATAGCAAATAATGAAATCATGAATAAATATTGTAGAATTGTATGCCACAATATTGTAGAACGTAACCTGATGCATATCTAGGAGTTTAAAAGCCAGTTTCACAAAAGCCAAATATTTTTCAATAAATTGACTTGGGTACAATATATAGTTTCGAGATTATATTACCAAATAGATACTCATAGTTATAGTATTTTTAAATCAATGGTGGAAGGATGATAATATTGTTGATAAATCCTGGCTACGCCACTGTAAATACCGTTTAAATATTACGTATATCATATAGATATTATTAGTCCAACAATTTTGAGAGCTTATAAATCCCTATTATATTGATAATTGATTCAATTCGACGTATACTTAGTATTTGGTTATGTTATGGTTTAGTAGGTATTAGGTCGGTACTAATAGGTTTTTTTCTAATGTCTCCTTTAAAATTTGGTTTGCTCTATTTGATGATTTAGTCTGGCTGCGGGCTATGATGGCGGTGGCTTCGCAACGATGGCGACATGAAATTATAATTTTAAATTTAAAGTTTTACAGTAAAAATGAAAAATTAAGTATTACACAAAAAAAAAATAAAAAATAACAATAATCGTGTAGTATGGTTATTGTATTTTTACCACCTGCGAAAATCTCGGTTAGATTAGGTTAGGTTAGGTTAGGTTGAAGCCATTTTCTTGGTGATTGGTATACGCATAATAATATACAGAGTGTACGAAGATTTTAAACAAAACTGATGTTGTGATTTTTCAGTTATTATAGAATCATACTTATTTTATAATCCTATTTATAGTAGTAATTTCAAAATGTTAACCTTATTCCATAGACCATAAAAGTATATCGATTTTTTATTTACTATTATTGTACGAGTTATAGCTATTATTATACATTTGTAATTTAATCCGGAGAAATAGAAGATTTTCTGAAAATAGCCATGCGATTCTTTACACCTTCCTACGCCTCCGGTCAGAATTTCTAACTATATAGGTACCCGATATGATAAATGTTGTGCGTATCAGGTGTTTAAAAAAGCATTGTTTTTTTTTTCAAATCTGCGTTGAAAGGAGAGGGAGGTGTTTGACGAGAAAATGCAAACGATAATAATTCCATAACGATTGACGAACAAATACAATTATTAAAACTTAAAATTTGTCCGAGAAAATGCGTTGCGATATTTCGATGACAAAAAAAATATCGTGTACATGGCGATATTGTAATATTTTTTATTCATTTAAATTGATATCAAAAAGATTACCGGGTCTCACTGAGAAAACCCGCGTGGAGGCCCAGAGTTGTCTTAGTTTACGGCAGGTATTCTTAGTATAATAATAGATACGCATAATATAAAGAAATTGCTTAGTAAAAAAATAATAATAATTTCAAAATTCAAAAATAATAAGTGTTATTAAAAAAAATATATAGTTATATATTTTAGTCGCATCGAATTCATATCGGAGCCAGTATATGATAGTATAATATTATATTTAATATTTGAGTAATTAGCCGCGGCACCGTTCTCCTGTCAGTATTTTTTTTTATTGCTGCGGCATACGCGAGAGAATAAATTATAGAAACGCGCGACGAGCCTATTAAAATCGCATCGTTCATCAATTTTGGTAATACGAAATCGCCATTCTTTTGAACGGGACGGCCCACATATTATTATTATTATTATATTATATATTATGATGTAATACCGCGGTGCTCTGGTACGACGATGACGACAAAGGTAGGCGAGTCAACAGAAAAAAAAAAAAACAATTTATTAACTCGAGCTATTAAATACAATAATAAACGAAATTGTCTTTAGAGTTGAAAATATCGATAAAAAAATTTAAAAATACAAGTGTAACGGTTAAAAAACGATAAATATATTCGAAATTTATATATATATATATACACTATAGCTGACCTGGCAATGCTTTGCTATTGCTAAATAATAATGTAAATAATAATAATAATAGTAGTTTTACTGTCCGTGACTACCAAATTATCATCTGTATCACCAAAGTGACCCATGAATACACAAAGACAAATAAATAAATTTACATAAACAATTAGATATTCGTATCAACTATCAAAACCTGTATATAATTCAAGGGATTGAGAATGGAACGTTGAACACTATCTTATATCTTTTAAGTTGGGCCAAATCACACACATATCGAGCATTGTCTAATCAAAATCGGTTGAGTAGTTTCAGAGTGCATCGCATTCAAACCCGTACGCGTAATTTTTAAATAATGTACAAGATATACAGTAACTGCAGGTATAGACCAACATCAATTCGATACATTTTTGACCTCTTACTTACTAGTGTTGTAAATTTAATAAAAAAAACATTCATACTCAACCCGTTATAACTTAATCGAATTTCTACAGAGGCGGCAACTCTCCGCCTAGATTTGAATTTTGAATTCGGAAAGTCTGAATCCAGGAATGCGGAGAAGACCGCGGGGAATTACAATTGTAAAATGTAAAAATTTCAATTAATAAAATGCCATACAAATCATAATAATTATTCGTTCTTACGGTCGGATATCAATTGGACTTTTGATTTCGGGTCCCGATCTATTATGATTTAAACAAATAGAATTTAAAAAAAAAAAAAAATGCATAATTTCGCTTTTGATTTCCTATGTAAATCGGTATTCTACGCTCGTGAATTTCTGACCGTGGGTGCATTTACAAACGAAAAAGTTGATTTCGGACAACGAAAATTCTAAACCGTTTTCGCGTACGGTCGCGAAAAACACAATTTTTTCCAATAAATAATATTGCGCGTAGGAAAAACTGTTTGAGCGCGTAGATTCGATGCGATAAATCCGTACGAAAAAAAATCAACGTCGTCATAACCGAAAATTTCGGAGAAAAACTCATAAATTACTATTATAATACGCAATCGACGATATAGGTACGCCTATAATAATACGTATAATATTATAATTTTTATATTTTCCGATCCGACGAGTGCCTATAACACCTATAGAAGTATTCGGCATTATGTAATGGTAGCGAAATTATGCGTCTATACGCAATTGTGTTCCATCGGCTCGTGAGCGCTGCGCTCGGATTATACAGAATGATCCATTTGTGACGAACATCTCGGAGGGTTTTCAGCGAATTTAACTTATGAGTTTTTTTTTTTTAATCATTATACGTAATCGTTTAAGAGTTATGTCAATACAATTTTCAAATGTTTATCCTACTCCGTGGATTCATTAATGACGAGAAATGTTCAAACGGGACACACTCTTCTCTTTTAAACGCGGATTGGCTTAGGAATAAACTTTATACCCATTTTTTTTTTTTTTTTAGACGATAAATCAATAATCCGCGTTCTTTTTCCGTAAATTTTAATAAACTGTTAAAACTATCGTAAACGATATTAATGATATGATGATAAGTGCTGATTTCTAGGCGAAGAAAAGGAATCTAAAATTTAAATACCACTGACCGATACGTAAAGAAGAAGTTAAGCATATCGAAATTGATGGACAAATATTCTCTATTTTAACTTTTGTTTAAAGAGAGGGGGGTTGGTTAGTGCAGGGTTCCTGTTTTAAAATTTCAAAAACGTGTACGCTCGTGTAAAGTGATAGTAGAGTTGAACAATTGAAATTCGCTATAAAATCCTCTGGGAGAAAATCGCTGGTTTACGATAAACGGATCGCGCTGTATAATATGTATATTATTATAAAAATAACAATAATATTGCTATAGTCGTTATTGTACAACGACGACGACGTGCTTTTTTGTATGTATTTAGGGTAAACCGAACGCCCGCGTAGCCTCCGCGAATATTATGTCAGTCGGTTCAAAAACGCGAACAATAAAAGGTGACAGTATTATTATTATTATTATTATCATCATTATCATTGTACACACTTGTATTATATGGGTAATACGCGCGCAGACGAAAAACCGTTATCGATCTCTCGTGTATACATGCAGGTACACATGCGGTAGATGGGCAACCGATAATATGAATAATATATACTAAACGACATCCTGTTGCCGTCGGATCTGTTGGACGAGAAACGTGTGTGTAATTGCGGAAAAAAAATAAAAAATAAATACGAACCACGACAGTTACGTGATAGAAATATCTACAATATACATCGCATTTATAGGTATCTAACATAATCGTTTTCCGATATAACCCTTCCCCTACTCCCAATCGTTCAATAATGGTGATGATAATACGAGTACGTATCTAAATATATTTTTTTTACATCGCGTTGAAACCATTTTTATTTTTTTGTATCGCATAATTATAATAACGTGTATAATTTAGTATATTATTACGAATTTATGCGGAGAATTAAATAAATAAATAATAATAATAATAATAAAAATGATAAAACTCATGCATTCTCAATTCCCGCAGCATGTGCTATATACCTACTCGTCGCCGCCGCGGTTGACTCGTTGCCAAACCGAAGTGTGTGCCGGAAGCGTAAAATATAATATAGTACGTTAAAATGTATATAAAAAATTATGATAAAATACCAGAGACTATACCTAATGCAATAATATATAAATATAATTTTTAAAAACACAATATTATTAGTATTGTTTGCGCGGTCATCGGACGGACGTTATAACATTGTGTGCCTATCCGAAACATTACGGTAATATTATTATCGTTTGATTGAATTTAATATAAATTAATAAAAGGTTTAATAGGTATTTAGATATTGTAATAATATTATTCGATTCGATGTTTAACACGCGTTTTCATCCGTACAGAAATTACGTATACGACTATATTTTACAAGGTGCGCCCCCCCACGTAAAGAACGACCGGATTTCGAAATGTTTAAAAAAAAAAAAATTACCTGTTTATCTATCATATCTATTCTCCAGTTTCTTTCGGTTTCGATTCTTTACTTGTTGAAGCTCGTAAATGGTACGCAAATAAATAGTTTGACAAGTGAAAAACAAAAGGTATTAGCCCGTGTAATCCATTTATAATAACTGTACTTTTGTATATTATATGCTTATAATAATGTAGATTTAATAATAAAAAGGACTTCGCACGTGAATGCAGCCAGTGTTGTAGATTGGAAGTTGGGAAGGTAGGATACAAACGGGAATTTAATGTATATCTATAAGCAACGATAAACCATTGCTAACGAAAAAACGACTCTGAGCGGAGTTCAGTTTATAGCGTTGCTTTGTCAACAATATATTATATGTCATATTATGGTAAAATTATTACTATGTACGTTTCCATGACAACAATAATTGTTTAAAAAAAGATTTAAAATAATAAAAACTTTTATAACAAAATATAAATAAAAACGGTTGTCAATGACAACCTTATTTTTAATTTGTCAATATTTTTGAACCTAAAGAACCAGGTTTTCCTCATTATTTCAAATATTAATGAGAATTTTAAAACATGACCTCTGTAAAGTATTACACAGAAATAATTTTCTTTCAGAAAAGGCCCTACATTTGATAATCTGAGTAAGTTTTCTGGTAGAAAAAGTGGTCACATAAAAAAAAAAAAATAAAAAAACATCTTTGTAAAACCAATACATTCTTCGCTTAACTTAACGAAATTTAAAAGTTACATATATGTTAAGTGACGTTATTATTTTTTTTTCAGTTCACAATAAGTAATGTTTTCACATTGTTTTTGACATTTCAAACGAGAAAGTTTTCGCTCCTTTTTTTTTCACTAAAACCGCCGTCACCGGCAATTCTTAACTAGACATGATGTTCTAAGCATAATATCCGGTCGTTTCCTCAATTATCGCAAAGCCTTCTGGAAGATTTCATATTTCTGTAACATAACGCCGAATCCTGTTACACTAACATTTATACGTCTACCGGTACCTAAACGAAAACCAGCTTCAGCCGGAGAGTATTGATCGATCCGAAGTTGCTCTTTCATCGTTCTTTTGCCCCTCAAGGTCATTCATTTTAAAATCATGTAATTTTTGGGGAAAAAACCCATTTGCGCTAATAAAAAAGCATCAATTCCTTTCGGGCAAAACCAACTCGCTCCAAATTTATCTGCCTTTAATACACTATCTAAAGATATGAAATTCGTCATAATAAAATTGTACTATTTCTGATGTAATCGCAGTTCGCAAAAAATCTCTTCTTTCAAATCCTAAACCTGTGCCTAATGTTCATAAAATATTAAATGATATCAATTTGACTATTTCTAAACATGACGGGATTTTTTTTGATTAATCCTGAACATAATTATATTTAACTTGCTACAAAATAAAGGCGTTATGAATATATAAACACATTTGCATTTAATTATATTAAAAATTAAGTTATAATAATTTATTATAATTTAAAACAAATTAATATAATTATTGCTTGAAAAAAAAAGCGTGTACTATTGAATATTATTTGTAATATTAAAATATTTTTTATTACTGTTTTAATGTTAAAAATAAATTACTTATTTTTAGCGTGTGATATCATTGTACAAATGTATAGGCGCGCAGGTAAATTCGGTGCAATCGGGCTGTCGGAAAAACGACCTTTTTTTTTTTATTAAATCTCAGATGGGTTGGACTCAAAACGAATTATTTTTTATTGACGAAAATGGGCTATGGCCGATTTTTGACTACAGGGATTTTCGAGGACCGAAGAGTATACACAAACCATACCATTATCGAGGGGTATTAGTGAACTGAAAAAAAATAACATCGCATCAGCAGATATAATATACGAGGCAGTGATGAAACGAGATTGGCGATTATCGATTCGATATCGTTCGCGTCTGCACGATAAGGACGGACGCTCATTAAACATTTATGTATTTGCAAAGTAAACTAAAAAAATAATAATAACTAGGAAACGTACGGATAATCTCGGCAACCGGCGGTGGGTTTTCGTGCATTTTTTGTTTTCGAAAAAAATATATAACTGTTAAACCCGGTCATTGTTTCGTGGGCAACCTGTACGCACATCACACAATCAGTATTCAGTATATTACTTTTGAACGCGATGCGCTTCGTACGATTCTATATTACTATATAGATGCGCATATCACTGCATAACATGACATACGCATCAGTAAAAAATAACATACGCGAGAAAAATATAAAATGAAATTGCCCGATAAAGTTCATTGCCACACGAAAAACGCGTGTACATTTGTCGCAACTTCACGAGGCAAAACAAAAAAAACAGCTATCCGAAATGAAAGACAATTATTGTCACATTGTACTTATCCGCATCTATAAATATATTATAATATACGTTATACAACAATATAATAATAATACTCACTGTATATTATATATATAGCGTGAGTTTTTAACAAAAAAAAAAAATTAAATTATAATTCAGTGATTTTCTAGGAGGATTTTAATTAAATATGATTTTTTTTTTATTTGTCAATCATTATGTAAGTATTTTGAGTTTTATGCCGTGTTCAAATTTGTATCCCTGCTTTTGGTTTTCAAAAGACTATCCTCTTTTCAACAGAAATTTAAAAAAAAACAATTATACTCTTTTAAACATTTTGTTGTGCACAACACGTGTATCGGTTATCCGTTTATTAACTCTTCCCTACTTATCCGGTCTAAATTTTTAACTGTTATAACTTATAAACGGTACACATTTAGTATTATAATACCCACTGTATTATACATCATGTTATTATCGAAACGTTTGGATTAACGTTCTGCTTTCAATTTTGGTGTAAACACGGGGTATGGTTATTTGAAAATCAAAAGTCGATGAAGTGTTAAAGGTGTACGGTTTCGGAAATATCGTAAATAAGATGAAATTCCATAACGATTGACGATAAACACCCGAAATTAATTTTACTCGAAATCAAAGTGGATCAACGATAATATCTGGTAGAAAAGTTGTTCACAGAAAAAAAAAATAAACATGTTTGTAAAACTATAAGATTTTTCGCTCCGCTCAGAATCTAAAAAAAAAAAAAAAAATAATAATAAAAACCACTCTGTATATGCTCTTTATAACACTATACCCGTTTTGGATAGTGTCTGTACTCGTCCGGTCGCACAAAACGTTATTTTATTATTTTCTAGCGTGTTGAAATTACAATAAAATGACGTCCCGAACTGCGAAGACTATATTATTATAAAATCATACGAATCAGTTATCGAAAAATATCGGTAATAATATCGTAAATTTACGCGATATTATATCGCCTTAAAAAGTTAAAACGCCCGGTTAATACGAGTATTTTCTAAAACAAAATGTTATTATATTGCCCATAAATATGTATAGTTGTATTATAGGTACCGATTGCGTTCCCTCGGATTATTATTATTATCCGTTCGCATTAAATCTCGTATAATACTATTTTATAAACTGCGCGTTAAATTTATTACACTTTTTTTTTTTATTCTCACAGACGCCCAATAACGTTTTTTTAATGCCGAAATCGTATTATACACGAGAGCATATACATATATATATATATAATATTTTACACGAGAATTATTACTGTGTATTGTTCCCGCACGCACGTACGTCACGCTTATAGCATTATTATTGTCGGTCGGACTTAAAAAAAAAAAAATCTTCATTGATGGGTACCACACTAAACGCAAGCACGAATGCTCGTAAATTGCTCTTGACCTTCACCGCGTACACGAGTTATAGATCGTTAAGTGTTCGACGCGGAAAACAAAAATCATTAAATCATTGTGAAAAATATGTTCTACACTATAAAAAAAAAATTAGATTTAGAGGGAATAATATTTAAAGAAGTGTTAAAAAAAAATATACATAATATCTATATTAAGTATTAGATTAGTATAAGTAATTTATTTATCATTACAATCAAAGTAGATAATATAGAAGTAATATTTTCATTATTTCTTTCTCTTCCCTTTGACGAATACGAAAGAAAATTAAATTTACGATGTATATGTAGTTGCCTTTTTTTTTTTTTTAATGAAAAAATATTCGATTTTGGTGCGTGCGAATATCTGGCGTTTCAATTTATTTTATTATAAACTTGTCCAATAATTTGTATTTTTAGCACTCCTTGTTTCATTTTGAAAAACAAAATCTCCGATTCGATTCCAGTCCATCCGGCTGGAATATTTCATGTCATCATTTGAATGACACACGTGACTTTATATGAAAACGTTATCGAGGTAACTAAAATAATTATTACTTAAAATTCTTTTAATTCTTTTATTATTAATATTCCAGTCATCGTTTATTATTTACATTCGATCAGTAATACCTACGAAAAAATTCGTTGTGCAATTTGTGTGTACACATTGCCATCACGACGGCATCTGTTATTATTGTGTATTCGCAACTACATTTATCGAATAATTTATTAATATTCCCCGGTCGAACCGAAATTTGATTATCGGTGTGCACGAAAATCGATATTTTTCAAATTGAGTTGTTAACATTAAAGGATCAAATGAAAATGGAACGCAGCCAACCGAGTAATTAAAAAAAAAAAAAAAATTGATAAATACGAACACTCGCGCTAGGTAAAACTTTGTATCACGTGCAATATAATGTATACGTTATTTTATGCATACGATTTTGTTTTAAAGCAATTTTACATCATAGGTACTGTTTAAATTATACTAAATTATTTATAAATATTTTTGTTTCTGGTCTATACGAGTATTATAAGTAAAAATCGCGATTACATACCGAGTTTTGGTCGTACTATCAACTTAATACGACTACTTAATAAAAACTCAACGAATGGGATGCGATTGGGCCGTGTATCTTTATGCACCTATTGTTCAAGTATCGTTTAAATATTTAAATCGAAACGGTTGTATTGAATACAGATTAAAGTCAATAGAATACCTAGTGATATTATTTTAAAGGCGGGACGACTGACTGTCGTACAGTGGCGTGCCCGGGAATTTTCATTTGAAGGGGACGTTTAGCAAATAACAAACATGCATAAATTGTAGAATATTTTTCTTTGTCTTTTAATTCGAATGCCTTCTAATGATGAAAGATCCAAAAAATTCAATTAATAAATCGAGTATTTCCCTGTAACTTGGTTGAAATATATAATGATTACCGAATAAATAATCGTAGTCCTGGTATTTTTAAGCTATCGGGGAGGGGGGATATAACTCATAAATTCTCTCATCGTTTTCTCCCTGCGCACGACACTGCTGTCGTTCAAATTCAAAATATGAGTTTTCGCGAATAATTGCGAACAATATACGAATATATTATTTTGTTTAGATGCGATGAAGAGTTTTTCGCGATGTTTCACTATTTTTTTTTTTTGCCTTATTTGTTAGTTTTTCTTTTGACGACGACCACACACAATTATTAGGCACGTTAAATAAAAACAGGTATATGCAATCGCTGAAATCGATCTCGTCGGGTGCTTTCCCCGATGCGGTAAAACGCGGTCGAACGTCATTGCTGCGAAGAAACAAGACTACGTATAAATAGATGGACGGATAGATACGGGCATTATTATTATTATTATTATTATTATTATACAAGTGCGCGCACGCACGAGAAATAATGAAACAAAACGCTCGTGTGGTGGGAGGGGGGGAGGGGAAAAATCTAAACAAAAAAACCAATCCGAGAGACGACACGTCATTAGTCAATCTATTATTATTAATGCACATTGAAACTCGTTCCCGGAGAGCCCTTTGCTTTGCTGCTTTGCTGCATAGTGTACTATACTACCAAACTGCGGTGTACGAAATATACGTTCGGTGTATGCATGTGTAATATTATTGAAATAACATGAGCTGCACACACGCGTTCTTCAACCTTATCCGAGAGAGCGCGCGCGATTTCAATAGGAATTCCTTCTCCCTATTCCTCGCACAAGCATTTATGATCGTATATGATACGCGATATTATATGATATTATTGTTATTATGTCGCCGAGTGGGGAACAATCCGCGTCGACGATGACGATCCTATAAGTAAAATAGCACGGATATTATGCATAATATTATTATAACACACTATATTGCAATAGCCTGCTATTACTTTATCAAAATGCGCGCTACTTCTACTCTACTTAAATGTTTTGAAGTTAATCTATTTTTAGATTATGAGTGGAGCGAGGAAATGTGTTGGTTTTACAACGATGTTTATTATTTTATTATTATTATTTTTTTTTGAATGTGAACGCTTTTTCTACCAGAATGCATACTCCGATTATCAATTAGACAGATTTTCTCTGCGTAATACTTTAAAAAGGTCATGTTTTAAAATTCTCATTAATATTCGAAATGATGAGGAAAACCTGGTTCTTTAAGTTCAAAAATATTGACAAATTAAAAATAAGGTTGTCATTGACAACCTTTTTTATTTATTTTTTGTTATAAAAGTTTTTATTATTTTAAATCTTTTTTAAACAATCATTGTTGTCATGGAAACGTACATAGTAATAATTTTACCATAGTATGACATAATATATTATATTGTTGACAAAGCAACACTATCAACTAAACTCCACTTAGAATCGTGTTTTCATTGGCAATGGTTTATTGTTGCTTACATACATACATTAAATTCCCGTCTGTATCTTACCTTCCCAACTTCCCACCTACAAAAGTGGCTGCATTCAAGTGTGAAGTATGTACGCCCTATTTCTGTTTGTTCAACGTCATTCTCGCTTTGGAAAATAATCATTTTCCGTTTAAATGTATTCATAAATTTGTTTTTGGTTACAACAGTACCATAATGTTACTATTTGGTATATGCGATATCAATAGAATGGTTTGACGAATGAAAACGTCTGTATCAGTACACTATTTGAAACATAAAGAAAGTGTATATACATTATAGTAAAACCATAAAAAATCGCTTCACTCCGATATCCGAATCTACAATACAAATACAAAAATGTCAAAACATTAATAATTTCTTCGACTCATCGATGTTAGTCTTCGATGTATCGAATCAAAATATCGACGATTTTAGAGCGCTTCTATATTACAATACTAGATATTAACAAAAGACGATACTCGCGTGTGCTATCTGTGTCTCTTAAACGTATGCTATAGCAAATTCGCGTTCAACAATGACAACTTTGTGATAAAGTGTAATCATTCACATATACTCGTATCCCACTTAAAAATAAGAATATCGAAAATAGCCGCCATACATAAATGATTTAATTTTTAAGTTTGATAATAGGACAATATACACTCTAATATTAAGATTAACAGCACAAATTTGTGCCTGACTGAATGCAAATTTGCTACATCGTATGTTTGTAAAACGGAAATAGTAAGTAATCGACTAATTTTAAAATAATTGAATTGAATAATATAACGGTATTTTAAGCGTTTATGGACGAAATAACATTATAGTGGAACAATCCGAGTGACTGTCAATCGATTCGAGTTAATTTCCAGAGCCGCACAAATTGGACGTAAAATTCTAATCGTAATATTTTTAAAATAACGATTGCAATAATATCCGATGTCTTAACTGCGCGACGCGTGCCGTCCCGTTGTTAAAGTGTGGTGCAACCACAGTCGTTTTAAGACCGAGTCCGGTAAAAAACGACAATAATAATAATAAATAATGATAATAATAATACTGAGTATAGATAATTTTATTTTATTTTTATTGTCTTGTCTGCGGCCCGAAGTGTACTTACCGTTTTTTACATAGGTAGTTATACTATATAATACCGTCTACTACTTATGATAATAATATTATTATGATGTCGTTTCGGCCGCGACGACGCAGTCACGGGTATAATACTGACACGGACACGATTCCATACGCTGTGTACATTAAAGAAGTGTCGTTTTTATTATGTACTTTAATATAAATGGAGTATAGTTAAGTATAACAATTATAATTTTTCAGTTGCAATTTGCAGTTTTCACTGTGGCCGATGCAGTGACAGTGGGTTTGGGGTCATATCCCGTATTGGATTTTTAATACAATAACCGCGAGCATTTTATTTAGTCATTTAATCTTGAAACGTATGTATTTCAGCCGAGTTGCAAAGAAAAGCTCGAATTATCGATTATAAATTGGTTTTTTGCTGCAGCGTGTAAAAAAGAAGATGCCACGATTTATTTATGATTATTATTAATTGCTACATCTCATCCAATTGGAAATTCCTGGGTACGCCCTTGTGCAGTGATGACAATGGAATTACGGAAAACTTTAGTTATTTTACGATAATTACTATCTTCTGACGTATACCAATATAATATTCTAGATCTTTTGTTTCCCGCCAAACTACCCGAGTTATTTTACAAAGAAAAAATTCGATATTGTCGGAAATATAATCGAATTACGCGGCACTTGAAAATAAATAATAATTATTATTCGTATTATAGTGCTGAAGTGAAACATGCTCGGTGACGATAAAAGTTCTTTTGAAACATTTGGATGACATATTTGCAGAATTTACAAAGAGTCCGATAGATTTTATTGAATTAAGAAAAATAAACAAATCGATCCACCCCTTGTAGATCATAATGATTATTGATAAATGATAAAAACATACTTCACTTGTATTTCGGTTCTATACATGGTTTTGTTATTTATCACATATTTTCATTTCATTAATTTATTGAACGGTTTTCCGTATTTTGTTAGGTTGGCATGTTTGTTGTTGTGGCATGGCGTCACGTCGTTGTGACATGGTTCGTTAAAAGAAAAAAAAAAATTACCACCTAAATAAATATAGTGAGGCACTCGCATTCGACAGACTATTACAATACTATAAATTATTAGTTTTTGATTAGTTAGATGTAATAGCAATTGTTTCAAACTGCATTATGCATTTATGCATCACTGTGTAGTATAATTATAATAATTGACCTAACCAATAACTGCACCACCGCAATTAAACTGCGTTTTCATTCGACAATGAATAAAATGTTTAAATGAATTTAAATGGTATTTTCCTTTCTTGTTTGCATTTAAATTAAACCGTCTAGACTACGGAATATTATTCTGTCGTATAAAATCATTTCTATTATTCGTGTTATATTTGATATATTTTTACATTGGTTAAAATGGTGGTAGAACCAAACACGGATCAATATATTATTCAGAAGCTCCGGGGCCAAAATGTTCAAAGAGACCCTAAAAAAAAAAAATTTGACATTTATATATTTGGTACTCAATGTGACAATAATATTATATTTTAATAAAAAAAAAAAAACAATAAATAATTTAGAGATAATAATATAGATCTCAATTTGAATACTACACAAGTATTATTTAAATAAACCAATATATTTGTATGTCAAAAAAAAAATTAGTTACTAAATAGTTACTAAAATAGTCATAGTTTTCAATATAGGTATAAAGGCATCATCAGGTAGTAACAAACAAAATACAAATAAATAAGAAATTACAAACAATTAATGAATAAATGCATAATATATATATATATATATATATATATATATATTATATTATTATTAATATTATATATTATTATTATATATTAAAACAAACACTTTGGACAGAAACCAAGGCCCTTAGAATGTTCTGGTCCAGGGGTCCTGACTCCCTGATCTTCCTTCTTTATCTTTGGGCTGGGAAGAGTCAGCGTATATGACGACAGAAAATTGGAATCAATTCTCAATTAGATGTCTCAATATAATAATATGATTATTTATTAGTAGATAATGTCTGTTGGAACGATCGTTTAGACTAGAGCTTCTTGTATCATGTGTACACGCTTTCACGTATTCATGTGAAATTAACATTCTTAACCGTGTAAAACAGTGCACTTTAAAATCTGTGTTTACGTGTATTTATTCACGTGTATCCGTATATCTACGTTTTTCACGTGAATAACAATAAAACACGTGAACATGGATAGTAAACTCACGTGTATTAAGTACAAATGTATAAACATTTTTCATTCACGTGTACTACACTGACTCCGTCTTCTCTTACTATTACTAATTCAACTTATCAATCGAGACCTTTAATTTGGACACGTCATAATATTATATTATAATTTACAAGACAACGAGCATACTGGTTAGTGATGGGCGCTTCCGAACAGTTTTCATTATCGATAGTTCGGACGCGATCGATCAGTGACATAATACGGTTATCTCAACGATCAACAGTTATCGAATAGTTCGATAGTATGACTATCCGGCTGTGCCCATCACAAATAATAATAATATTATTGTGATACCAAAATATTGTGTGTATTATTGAAAATAGATACAGGTTACCAGAAACAAAACTAAATAACTATAGGTATAGGTATTTTATTGGTTTTTTCATTTTATAACGTGCGTTCGGGGCAGTCATTTGCGTAACGCAATGGCGTGTACCTAAGATGATATCGCAGTATTATATAACGTAGCGCGCGTTAGACGTTAACCACGTGATACGACTTTGGATTCTATAATAATAATAATAATAATAATATACACAACAACAAAAACAAAATAATACAACGATCGAAACACGGCGACGGAATTATTATAAAACGAAATAAATTACTTTGTGTACGGAAACAGTAGCTGAACGACTATTTTACCTACGTATCAAGTAAAATACTACGAAATTTCAAGAGTCCGTTCATAAGGCTACGAACATGATCAGCGAAGTTTTATTTTGGAATTATCTATGAGCTAATAATAATAATATTAGTAATGAATTGCACCCTTTCGTCGAATCTCCCTCACATATTCTCCCTCCTCCTTGTTTCGATTGCTTAAATATCAGTACTGTAAAAATATCTGCCCGGGAGTTATTATAAATTATAATATATCAAAAATAATCTTTTGAAACGTGATACTCAATGTGTATGAAAAATATTAATTGGATAGCTAGGAAAAAAAAAAAATTGTTAAATAAAAACGTACATAAATGGAGGCGATTAGAGCAGGACGTTGGCAAATGGTTGGACGTGCTCTGAGACACTCAGAAGAGCGAAGTTTATTAATATAAATGAGGAAATAATTGAAGGGGAGAGAATTGCTGGGCGAACTCGTAACTTTAGTACAGGACAAACTATAAATGGCACAAGAGTCAAAACTTTTAAAGAACTAAAAGAATAAAAACGAGCGATAGATTAGATGGTGGAATTGAAGTTTCAGACTAACCTACGAGTTAATCAAATAAAAAAGTAGAATTTATAACCCGTTATCCAATCGAATTCTCTTGAATTATCATAAAATAATATTCGAATAATACGTTACGACGAAACCTAATATATACTATTCAGTCTTAGTAAATATTGGCACATACGCGAGTAACATACATTTAAATAGTATAACACATAGTGTTTCTATACAAATAACATGTTATGACTGTAGTGGTGTTCATTTTTGCTAACGAATAATGATCACCAATAATTCCGTAAAGCGCATTTATTGAAGACAGACTTTGAGGAAGGATAATAATACTCGCTTAATAATATTATTGCTTGACTGTCGAAAAATTCCAGGATGGGAAAATAATATTTTTAAACATTCGTCCTGAACATTTACAGTATTTAAATGTTATTTTTTCGATTTACAAGCCTTTTAGCAGCGTTTCACTAAACTATCCTTGTCATCAAAGGGATCATCCTGCACTGTCTTACTGATTCATCAAATGCTCTTATAGCACGCTTCCCTCTGTCTAGCAATCATTGTCGTTTAACTTTCGCGCGGCCGTTTTACGGATTTGCGCTTATTCAAATGTAATAACATTATTTACTAGTCATATTATATCGTGAATATAATTTGGCAAAGAAAATAAGTTCGGGATCGCGCCTAGAACGCGAAACAAATCAAAAATTGTTTTAAATCTAAATCTCGGAGCGGTAAATATTGTGTAATATTTAAACCTGTTTCGACTCTCCGGATAAAACACGTTTTCGGTTTATTTCGAATCGTATTCCTCCCATCACGAGCGAGTAACCCAGTGTCCTGATGAGGACGTCCCGGCGGCAGTGCCCGCACGAGAAACCTGTCTCGGAATCTTTTGTCAATCGTTTTTTGTAGTATTTATATTATTTTATCCACGACTCAAACGTATGTTCGAGTTCCAACGCATTTTTTAGCTCCGACGACGGAGCTGTACACACGTACAAGACATTCGTGTCGGTGTTTACAATAATATTTTGTGTAGCATTCGAAACAACAACAATATCCTCTTAAATATTAATATGTTACTATAAAGACGTATACCGTATGCGTTATTAAAACATAAATATAACGGCACGAGTTTGGCAATATCGAGCGTTTACAAGGACTGGGATAATATTTTTTTAAATTGTCTTTTGGGCAGAACAAGAGAGTTTAACCTAAACACGAGGATTAAAACATCAGTGATGTCATTTTCATAAAATATTCTGAGGTTTTTGAGTTATTTACAGCTTATTTTAAATGATGTGCTTTTTAGTTTTTTTTCTTGAGTTTATGTCAATAAGATTGTTTGGCTTCACAAAAACTCGCGAAAATTTAATACGAGGTTTAAGATTTGCTGTTTATATGTTTCGATTGTTTTTTTTAATCAAATTATCCTTAATAGGTACTTATCGTCAGTCAGGCCTTGGTCATAAATGTTAAGCTGGGCCATTAGGTTTCCTCACGGCATACCGTCCAGCCAGCGAGAAACATTGATTCGTTTAGCTTTATAAAAGTTTGACAATTTGGAGCTATATAAAATATTATCTAGTGTTTGAGTTGGATAATGAAATCTGAACAGGGGATCAGAGTTTTATTCGAACTGAACGACTGAGTGATTGGAGGAAATTATGTAGTAGTAGTTTTTTAATATTATAGTATACAAATATCCAAAATGTTTCAATAAGTTAAATTCTTGAGTTAAAACTTGATGAAAACTTTAACAAGAGCGAACGTAAGATTGTGAAAGTAAAATAGTCAATAATATACTATGAACCAAAATGTCTTATTGTTATTCAATATTCACGTATACCAAGTACTTTAATTTTACCATTTTTATCAACATCTATTATAAATTAAAATAATACATTGATATATGCGTATAATGACCAAAAAAAAAAATTGAATAACAAATTATGTCTTCATAATTCTTCGTTGTAACGAATAATGAAAAATGTATTGTAAAGACAAAAAAAACCAAAAACAATATTCAGAATATAGAAGTTGTTTTTGATTAATACTCGATAAAAAATATCTTAAACTCGTGTAATCTCATCGAGTTTTATAATATCTTCTAATAAAATCAGTTTACTCCACGTGTAAAATATACAGTAATGTTGTCTATGATGTAGTTCTCATTTTGATTTTAAATTCATATTACTTGATATTGATTTTATAAACCAAAATCGGTCATATTTACATAGGCAACTTTTAGTATTCCAGGCTTTGTTTTTTATTTTTCTATGCATACAGGGTGATCAAAATAATGTAAGACATTATCATTATCTCGGAAAGTATTAAGTTTTATCGGAATTTGTTTTATAGAATATTTAAGAAACAGGCAGCTCAACAAATTTTGCAAATAATCATTTTACTTTACTGCATTTTACAAAAATTAAAAATGTGATGTTATTTTTGTGTACGTTATTCAAACGCCATGCGCTGTGCCATCACACAAATGTGATGTTCTACTACTCTACCCAGACTTAAATATTACGTATTAACAGGTTGACGAAAATCAAAAATTTAAACGCCGAAACGCATTTACGGAATTTTTGATATAGGTTTCCGTTTGAATTTCAAAAGTTAACCCTTAAAACCTGCGCAAAAAAGACAGTAAAAAAATTAAAAACTGAACAAATTATTTTAGATGATAATAAATCGAAAAACTTTTACTAAACCTTTTTCTCTATTTTTAATGTTTACACGATAAAACGGCCGTAACATAAATTTTGAATCGCCTCTTATACTCGTATAATATTATGTATTTATTTATTTGTCATATGCGTATACACGTATTAAGTATTAC